GGAGGGGCCCGTCGAGGACCCCACTGCCTTCCGGGCTTTGGTCGCTCAGCAGGCAGCGAGTGCGGGCGTGGTCACAGCCGGGCTCGGAGGCGAAGTTCAGGGCCTGTCCCCAGGGCGGGAGGAGAAGGATCCGGGCGCCCTCAGAGCCTGTCCCAAGCTGGCACAAGCAGCCTAGCAACCCAGGGGTCAGGCCCGTTCCAAAACCGGGCCTCGGGTCCCACCTCGCCTTCCTCCCCACCTGACCGGAGCCCAGGAGTAGGGACAGAATACAAGGGCTGGGCTGGGTCCCACGCTGCTGGCCCCCACCCGTCCCAGGCTTCCGGCCCAACATCCCCCTTCCCTGGAGGGCCTCACCCCCCCTGGCCCATTTAAGGACGCCTTTCCACTTGGTCTCTTGGGGCTGCTGGGACAGTACCAAGGCTTATGGGGCATATAAACTTAGGTGGACGCCATGGTACACACCTGTCATCCCAGCACTCAGGAGGCTGAGGCAGGAGGATCACCACAGGTTGGAGGCCAGCCTGGGCTCCAAAAGACACGGTCTCAAAAATGAACTAAACAGGGCTGGGGATTTACCTCTGGCACCGCGCCTGCCTTGCAAGTGCAAGGTCCTGAGTTTGATCCCTATACCACAAAAAAAAAAAAAAAAGCCCTGCTTGTCCTCCCTCAGTTCTGAACACCCCTGGCATCCAAGGGCCCCAGGGGCCGCAGCTTGTGCTGTGTGCCCCACATGGGAATGGAACTCTAAGGGTTATGGTTTCTGGCAATCAGTGGCTTCTCCAGGCCTCCTGGGCCTAGGGCACCCGCACCGCCCACCTCTCCTACCCAGATGGAGGCTGAGGGCCAGGCAGGGCCACACAGGGAGCTCGAGGGCCACACAGGGAGCTCGAGGCCCACCTGGGGAATGCAGGGAGATCCCACCTCAAACAGCCAGGCATGGGGCATAGGCCTGGGATCGCAGCACTCAGGAGGATGAGACAGGAGGATCACCATGAGTTCAAGGCCAGCCTGGGCTACACAGTGAGACCCTGTCTCAAAAATTAAAAAACAGAGCCAGGGATTTAGCTTAGTGGTTCTGCTGCCTACCTCTCAAGTATAAGGTCCCGAGCTCGATTCCCGGTACCAAAAAAAAAAGGGTAACAAAAAATCAAAAAACAAGAAAGCAAACCAAAAATACATGTGCTGAAACAAAATGTGACTTTTCCATAGAAATTAACACAAAGCTGAGTGTCAGTGGAGAAATATAGTCTATATCGCATAATATATTAAGTAAAATGAGTCCTTCCCAAAGGAGACACCTTTAAAATATAAACTATTTGAAAGATGAACTTTATGGTATAAAACAACAAAAAATACAAATGTAAAAATAAAAGGAAAAAAGTGTGTCAGAGAAAGACCAACACTGAGACAGAACAGCTCCTAGCTGTTCACAGTGAGGCCAAACTTGTCTGTGTCTCTGGGTTTTTTTTGGTTTTGCTTTTGCTTTTGTGAGACAGGTTCTCCCTCTGTAGCCCAGGCTGGCCCTTGAATGCCCGACAATCCTCCTGCCTCAGCCTCCTGAGTGCTGGGATCACAGATATGCACCACCAAGTCCAGCTCCTGTGTTTTAATTTCTTCACTGCAGTAAATATGGCTTTTATTTGAACAGAGACAAAGCCATTTATCTCTAGATGTGTACTTACACAACATGCAGATAGAGCCAGATGACCAGTAGATAAGGACAACAAGGGAGGGCTGGAGGAAGGAGGAAGGCTGCAAATAAAGTGTTTTAGTTTAATAAGCCTTTTTAGAAGAAAAACAGAGCTGAAAATGTAGAGGTCTTCACTCCCCGCATACTGCTACAGCCTCCCAATTCGTACCTTTTCGCTCGCTCGCTCTTTGAGACAGGGTCTCACTGTGTAGCTCAAGCTGGCCCAGAACGCACAGCCAACATCCTGCCTCAGCCTCCCAAAGGGCTGGGATCACAGGCGTGCACTGCCCCGCCCACCTCACCCTATTATTAACAGCTTCTATCTGTACAACCAACATTGTACGGGCGGCAGACCTAGCCTTCGTGGCGGTATTAAAGTCCTTCCTGTTGTCCCTGCAGAGTCCTGACAAATGTGCAGGCCATGTGCCCGGGACGGAACCACGCAGGGTAGCCCTGTCCTGCCTGCCTGCAGCCTCAGATCTTTGCACTGTCCTCCTCGTTCTGCCTTTTCCAGGTCGACGTGCTCACATCATGGCCTGGCTTCTTTCGTTTCAGTCTTTTCCTGGTGAGGCACGTGGCTCCTCTATTGCTGCTTGACAAAGTTCCAGCAATCATGGGCCTTGGGTTGAAAGCATCGCCCCGACTTTTATTTTTGCTTGCAGTTTTGATTGGCTTAATTGTAATTACAGGAAATTTGGTTTTAATGAAAAAACCTGTACAAGCTACTTCTGTGAAATATGTGTCAATTGTTTCAGTCATTGAGCCCCTCCCTAAGCGCAACCTCTGATCCAGAAACTTTCTTTGAAGGGGTTTCCGTTTTTTTCAGTAATTGAGGATTTCACTCCGACAAAAGCCCCCCTTTTCTTCCAAGCGTCCAATTATTTATAAAAATCCCAGAGAGGTGCTCAAAGATTTATGGTAGAGTGATCTCATGGCCACTAGAAAACCCCCCGCATTTCCTACACTGGGGCTTACATCGATGAAGTTAGAATGGTGTGGAAAGATAAAAAATGAGTAAGATATCAAGATTTGCCCTTTGCAGAAAGAATGAAATGTTCAGGAACACAGTGATGTCTACTCACTAAACAACAAGTAAATACTATTGCCAGGCAGCTGAATAGTTATTATAGAAAGGCTTAGTAAGTACAAAATACTTGCTTTCTGACTATGTAAAATAAAAGTTTAACCAAGAAGTTGAGTAACCACAGTAGCTTTTTTTTTTTTTTTTTTTTTGGTACCGGGGATTGAACTGGGGTCCTTGTGCTTGCAAGGCAGGCACCGGAAGCCCTGAGCTAAATCCCCGGCCCTTGGATTGTTCTTTTGATTTTGCTTTCATTTACACTTTTACTAGGAAATTGTGGGATTAATAATAGTTGAGGCAATAGATAAAATGTTCCCAGAAGTAACAATAATAAAATAGGCATGTGCTGTAGTTTATTGGAAAAATGATCTTAAAAGTTTTTAATCTAGAAATTGTAAATGTATGCTAATTTCCATATGTAACCTTTACTATATGATATAAATAAAGAAGTCCTCCAATGTTTGGAAGGCACAGCACCTCATCCCTACAGAGTGTATCTCATTCCTTCACAAGCGCTGGCTCCAACCCTCCTCCTCAGGACCTGAACTCTCACTGAGGCTGGACCCCGGCATTTTCACAGCTGGGAGTGGTGGCACACCCCTAGGAGGCTGAGGCAGGAGGGTTGCAAGTTTCAGCTCAGCCTGAGCAATTTAGCCACTCATGAGACCCCGTCTCAAAATGAAAAGGGGATGGGGACAGAGCTCAGGGCAAGGGCCCTGGGTTCCATCCTCAGGGCCGCCCCCCAAAACTTTTTGAACTCTTTCTTTCATTCTTTTCTTCCTGTCGTGTGGTGGGTATCAGGTGTCCGCTGAGCCCGTGGCAGGTGTTTGCGTGGCCTCTAGGTAGACAGGTCATAGGCACGTGTCACTGTGCACCTCAGAGGCTTGGTTCTGCTGCAGTGGGTTTGGGTTACCATCTCAGGAACCAGTGATACAGGCAGGGAGTCAGACAGGAACAGGGCAGGCTATCAGTGGGGTGGGGCCTCAGAGTCACAGAGGCGAGAGCACCTGGAAGCTGCGGCCAGAGGCCATCTGAAGGTGACAGGCACGTGGCCGGGTCTGCACACTTCCTGAGGGACGAGCAGAGCCTGAGGTCACTGGTGCCACCCTTGGGCTTCCCGCGAGATGGATGTTATCTCACAGTGGCTGTCCGCGTCACCAGAGACTGCGAAGACTAAGAGGACTGCAGGTTTCCCAGAGCTAGTGACGTCACCCACATGCCCTTTCACCTTTGGGCTACACCTGCGATCTCATTGGCCGGTCACAGCTTTGACCCGCCCCCCGGGCCTACCCCTCGTGACTCTGCTCTATAAATCTTCCTTTGAGAAGTGGGCTCGTTGCCAACCCATTCGGGACCTCTCTGTCTCTCAGGAGCTATTCCTATCCCCGTTCCTAGTCCCCAGTGGATCTTCCTACTCGTAACCTCCGCCGTTCCTCAGAGTCCTCTGTTGGACTTTGGGGAGCAGGAGCTCCATGTCTGACACCTAGTCGGTCTGCAGTTTCGGGCATCCCCTGTCTCACCAGGACAAGGGCGCCAGCTCTGGAGTGCCATCA